ATAGTTCACTAAGCACACACCCAACAGAAATATGTAAGAAAATCTTTCCACATAATTTTCGCCCTTCAAAATGTATCGAATTTCAATATGACTTTCAAGCGTTTCCTAAGCATAACAACTAGTTCAAAAGTATTCCAAGTATATTTCAGCGTGTTTTTTCAAAATTAATAAATGTTTATAATTTTACCTGAAATAGAAAATTTTCTATCTCTAGGGTTGTAATGCAAGGGAATCTCACTTGAAATAAAATAGTTTAATATAATTTATGTTGAAATATTTTAATGTCTAAGAAAATGACAGCTGAGTTCACTGTAAATGTAATTGTTCCTTGGCTAAAATATTCATAATAAACAAAACTTATATACATAACGGAATGTGGTATAACATGGAATCGATGGTTTTGCTTATAAATCAACTTGAACGATTTTTATTCTTACTTGCTCTTAATATGGAACATTTGTAAGCGTTTAAGCATACATAATTATGTTTTGGCACTACATATATATTATGTTTAGTGACAAAATCTGTTGACTAGACAATAAATTTTTCTAATTATATATAAATATCAAGAAAGACATTGTTTTCTAGGAAAAATAGAATGCCAACTATGTGTATCTCCTAAATCGACCGTATTTTTGTATACAAGTAAACATTTTTCCTAAATAAATCAACACTTATGCAACTACTAGCTGTAGAATATATATATATAAATATATTGATTTTTAAAAAGATACCTAAAATAAGCTAAAATTGATTAGCTTATTCACCATAAAAAGGTAGTAATTATTCTGTATAGTATCGTTTCGTTAAAATGGTTGCATTGAAATGTATCAAATTGACAAGTTACTTAGTGTTTGAATAAAATGTGTGGCTTGAATTATTTTTTCACAGCACGACTAAAATAAATAATAGTAACTTGATAAATCACATAAAATCAATGGTTTTGCATGAAAACTAGGCCATAAGTTAGTTTGCAGAGTTTATTAGCAAGTGACTAATATTACAGCGACAAATAGAATTTCATTGATAACTAAAGTGTATTTTTCATTTCCTACATCTACTTTGTGAACAATATAGAGTTCTCTTTATTTTGAATTATTTCAAATAGTCTATCTTAGAAATAATTGAAAATTTAAAAGGAAATAAATTTTTATCCTCAACAATGTAGAATTCGGCAAGCGACCAGTAAAAAAAAACATTATTACTCGTCTAGATCTTTTCAAAAAAAATTATATATTCGTTTATTTATTCATGGCATTCATAATCCCTTAAAATTTTAATGAAAAACAAGCAAATTATTGCAAGATATGATGAATTGTTTTGTTTTTTTTTAAAAAAAATGTGATTGCATCACTGTGAACTACTACTAGACAGATGGAAATATTTCAATAAAAAATAAAATAACTACGGAAAAGTATCAGTAGAAAAAACAAAATAGTGAAATATGCATCAGTGAACGATCATTTATGAAAGCGTAAATTCAATGAAATAATTTTTTCTTTTAAAAAAATAGCTTTTTATGAGTAAATGAATTTAGGAGTAATGAAGCGTCATAGCTAATTTAATTAATTAAATAATTCATTCATATTATGCAAAAAAAATCTTGAAGAATACAAAAAAAACCGACTGTTTTTAAACTGTACGTTTTGAATATGGTCAAATTGGATTTTCAAGAAAAAATAGAAGAAAGAGATTTATTTACTTTGGTCACGTCTGCAATCACACTAGTTGAAATTCTATGATTCTTTTTCTTCAGATTGGTACTGTTTTTTTATCTGCTCAACGATATATTCATTTATACGGACGAAAATAATAGTTTTAGGAAAGAAGAAATTTGTACATTCATTAATTGTGATTTTTACGTAGTCAATCTGTATTAGTATATGAAAGTCAACGATAACTGTAGGTTTCTGCTTTACTCATTCAATAGTCAACAACTGAAAATTTCCGTCTGAACGATCGGCATGAACTCTATCGGTGAGCACTTTCAAAGAGAACATATAATATTAGGGTTAATGCAGATTGAATGGCCTACTATTCCGATTACTGAAGAGTTGAAAAGAATGTACAAGAATTATCCATTGAATAAGAGATATATGATTTCATAATTATATTCTTTATGTAATTTGGTTTTCCGTTTCTCCATCAGTAGTGTTTTTTTTTCCACTATTGTAATTATTTGTAACTTTTTATTTTGTGAAACGAGCTTAAATTAACCTTATTTTCTTTATTAATAAGTTTTATTGTATGAAAACTAAACAAACTCTATGACTGACTTAATTTTGTTCAGTGTAAACTATGATCTAACTAATGATTACCAACTACAATACAACTGCAAACAACTGAAGTCATTATTTTATTTCTAATAAATGAAAACTGAATAGTATTAGTAGTAGTTAGCAGTACGACTTAAATTTATGTTCATCACTTTCATGACTGGCTATGATGATTCAATATCCTGTTTAATATCAAATCTAAGCAGATTAAAAAAATGAAAAGTCGACTACAGTAAAACCTCATCAGATGAATAACTAAGCTCTCACATACGATAATCATTGAGTAGAAATGTTTACAACATCCGTTTTAGACGATAACTACTAATATATATTATTTGGTTCTCATCATTTGCATTTGATATAAATAAACCTTGAAATACAATCTATTCTTCTGACTTCATGATATAAACATGCATTATTATTGATGTACTTAGTCAGTCAAGGTAATCAGAATAAAAAATTATTACCAGTAGAAGAAAACTTCGCCTATAAAAGTTCACATTTCTCACATGAAATTCATATAACCACCAGCTATTTTTGGATAATTCATGTAGAGCCACAAAAAACAAAACTGCTTTATATTCACTAGAGTTTTTGTTTTCCCCATCAAACTATTCCAATATGATTTTCTTCACTTTCTTCTCACTTTCACTTTAGTTCGATACAGATAATGAAGCACTTATCAATGAATATTTTTCATCAGAAAAAGTTGATCAAGCTGCTGAACATTGTCTACGTTTAATTGGTAGTAAAACAATGGTATCATCACATGATACCAATCCGAATTATCACAATAATCCTGATGAAAGTACACTAAGTTATACAGCACGTAAATTAAAATGGCGACTTTGCATTCTCAAAGAATTGGATCGTATTAATCGTGGTTTATATTCATGGAATATTGGTTCATTATTTCAATATCATAAAGATACCGATACAGAAGAATAAATTCACTTAAACATGAAATTAAAACGATTAAAACAACAGAAAAAAATACTTACCAACAGAAAAAAACAATACAAAAACGATTTAACAAACAAACTCTATTTTCCTTTTCAACAACAATCTTAAACACCATTGTTTCGTTTATAAAATAAAAACTAAAGTAAAAATGATGAAGATATTACTTGTAAAATTGTGATGAATTTTGTAACTGATAAATATTATTCTCTATGAATAATTTTTTTTTCTCTTCCCGTCTAATGTTTACTCATACATATAAATATTGATATAAATAAAAAATGTTTCCATCTTATTTTATACGCATATGTTTATATTATTAAGTGTCCGATTGACCTAGTATAATCCTTTTATTTCAAAAAAGATACTACTATACAAATTATGAATAACAATTAGGGACAATAAGGAACTTTTCATGAAATATTTTTGTTTGTTAAAGTCATCCAGAATCTTATTTAATCGAAAAGTAAATATTATAGTTTAGCGGCGCTGCAAGACCGATTTAGTGGATGATCTATGGTCAGAGTGTACGGCTTTTTAGGCTTTTCGTTCACTAAACTCAACTTGTCTACTTGTAATTTTGCCTGCATTGCCACTTATCTCATCACATCTAACTTAAAAAAAACAGTAAATCCGGTTAATTTGTGTAAGTCATGTTTCTGTACTGTTTAATATATATATATATATATATATAATATAGCTCATGGTTACCAATATTCACAAGAAATCCAAAAAAAAAACTGAACGTCAAATAATTAGAACGAGCAGAAAAAAAAGATTCAACTAGACACACCTCGTGATTTTCACCGAATTGCTTCACTTCGTTTGCGCTATTAATTGTTTATTTTGTCTATATAGTCGTCACCTATACAAAGCGAATTATAAATGTTAAATATATATATATATATCTATATATATATATATATATATAATATTTAACATTTATAATTCGCTTTGTATAGGTGACGACTATATAGACAAAATAAAACAATTAATAGCGCAAACGAAGTGAAGCAATTCGGTGAAAATCACGAGGTGTGTCTAGTTGAATCTTTTTTTTCTGCTCGTTCTAATTATTTGACGTTCAGTTTTTTTTTTGGATTTCTTGTGAATATTGGTAACCATGAGCTATATTATATTATATATATATATATTTAAACAGTACAGAAACATGACTTACACAAATTAACCGGATTTACTGTTTTTTTTAAGTTAGATGTGATGAGATAAGTGGCAATGCAGGCAAAATTACAAGTAGACAAGTGAGTTTAGTGAACGAAAAGCCTAAAAAGCCGTACACTCTGACCATAGATCATCCACTAAATCGAGTCTTGCAGCGCCGCTAAACTATAATATTTACTTTTCGATTAAATAAGATTCTGGATGACTTTAACAAACAAAAATATTTCATGAAAGTTCCTTATTGTCCCTAATTGTTATTCATAATTTGTATAGTAGTATCTTTTTTGAAATAAAGGATTATACTAGGTCAATCGGACACTTAATAATATAAACATATGCGTATAAAATAAGATGGAAACATTTTTTTATTTATATCAATATTTATATGTATGAGTAAGACATTAGACGGGAAGAGAAAAAAAAAATTATTCATAGAGAATAATATTTATCAGTTACAATTCATCACAATTTTACAAGTAATATCTTCATCATTTTTACTTTAGTTTTTATTTTATAAACGAAACAATGGTGTGTTAAGATTGTTGTTGTGAAAAGGAAAATAGAGTTTGTTTGTTAAATCGTTTTTTGTATTGTTTTTTTCTGTGGTAAGTATTTTTTTCTGTTGTTTTAATCGTTTTAATTTCATGTTTAAGTGAATTTATTCTTCTGTATCGGTATCTTTATGATATTGAAATAATGAACCAATATTCCATGAATATAAACCACGATTAATACGATCCAATTCTTTGAGAATGCAAAGTCGCCATTTTAATTTACGTGCTGTATAACTTAGTGTACTTTCATCAGGATTATTGTGATAATTCGGATTGGTATCATGTGATGATACCATTGTTTTACTACCAATTAAACGTAGACAATGTTCAGCAGCTTGATCAACTTTTTCTGATGAAAAATATTCATTGATAAGTGCTTCATTATCTGTATCGAACTAAAGTGAAAGTGAGAAGAAAGTGAAGAAAATCATATTGGAATAGTTTGATGGGGAAAACAAAAACTCTAGTGAATATAAAGCAGTTTTGTTTTTTGTGGCTCTACATGAATTATCCAAAAATAGCTGGTGGTTATATGAATTTCATGTGAGAAATGTGAACTTTTATAGGCGAAGTTTTCTTCTACTGGTAATAATTTTTTATTCTGATTACCTTGACTGACTAAGTACATCAATAATAATGCATGTTTATATCATGAAGTCAGAAGAATAGATTGTATTTCAAGGTTTATTTATATCAAATGCAAATGATGAGAACCAAATAATATATATTAGTAGTTATCGTCTAAAACGGATGTTGTCAACATTTCTACTCAATGATTATCGTATGTGAGAGCTTAGTTATTCATCTGATGAGGTTTTACTGTAGTCGACTTTTCATTTTTTAATCTGCTTAGATTTGATATTAAACAGAATATTGAATCATCATAGCCAGTCATGAAAGTGATGAACATAAATTTAAGTCGTACTGCTAACTACTACTTATACTATTCAGTTTTCATTTATTAGAAATAAAATAATGACTTCAGTTGTTTGCAGTTGTATTGTAGTTGGTAATCATTAGTTACATCATAGTTTACACTGAACAAAATTAAGTCAGTCATAGAGTTTGTTTAGTTTTCATACAATAAAACTTATTAATAAAGAAAATAAGGTTAATTTATGCTCGTTTCACAAAATAAAAAGTTACAAATAATTACAATAGTGGAAAAAAAAACACTACTGATGGAGAAAAGGAAAACCAAATTACATAAACAATATAATTATGAAATCATATATCTCTTATTCAATGGATAATTCTTGTACAATCTTCTCAACTCTTCAGTAATCGGAATAGTAGGCCATTTAATCTGCATTAACCCTAATAGTATATGTTCTCTTTGAAAGTGCTCACCGATAGAGTTCATGCCGATCGTTCAGACGGAAATTTTCAGTTGTTGACTATTGAATGAGTAAAGCAGAAACCTACAGTTATCGTTGACTTTCATATACTAATACAGATTGACTACGTAAAAATCACAATTAATGAATGTACAAATTTCTTCCTTCCTAAAACTATTATTTTCGTCCGCATAAATAAATATATCGTTGACCAGATAAAAAACAGTACCAATCTTAAGAAAAAGAATCATAGAATTTTAACTAGTGTGATTGCAGACGTGACCAAAGTAAATAAATCTCTTTCTTCTATTTTTTCTTGAAAATCCAATTTGACCATATTCAAAACGTACAGTTTAAAAACAGTCGGTTTTTTTGTATTCTTCAAGATTTTTTTTGCATAATATGAATGAATTATTTAATTAATTAAATTAGCTATGACGCTTCATTACTCCTAAATTCATTTACTCATAAAAAGCTATTTTTTTAAAAGAAAAAATTATTTCATTGAATTTACGCTTTCATAAATGATCGTTCACTGATGCATATTTCACTATTTTGTTTTTTCTACTGATACTTTTCCGTAGTTATTTTATTTTTTATTGAAATATTTCCATCTGTCTAGTAGTAGTTCACAGTGATGCAATCACATTTTTTTTAAAAAAAAACAAAACAATTCATCATATCTTGCAATAATTTGCTTGTTTTTCATTAAAATTTTAAGGGATTATGAATGCCATGAATAAATAAACGAATATATAATTTTTTTTGAAAAGATCTAGACGAGTAATAATGTTTTTTTTTACTGGTCGCTTGCCGAATTCTACATTGTTGAGGATAAAAATTTATTTCCTTTTAAATTTTCAATTATTTCTAAGATAGACTATTTGAAATAATTCAAAATAAAGAGAACTCTATATTGTTCACAAAGTAGATGTAGGAAATGAAAAATACACTTTAGTTATCAATGAAATTCTATTTGTCGCTGTAATATTAGTCACTTGCTAATAAACTCTGCAAACTAACTTATGGCCTAGTTTTCATGCAAAACCATTGATTTTATGTGATTTATCAAGTTACTATTATTTATTTTAGTCGTGCTGTGAAAAAATAATTCAAGCCACACATTTTATTCAAACACTAAGTAACTTGTCAATTTGATACATTTCAATGCAACCATTTTAACGAAACGATACTATACAGAATAATTACTACCTTTTTATGGTGAATAAGCTAATCAATTTTAGCTTATTTTAGGTATCTTTTTAAAAATCAATATATTTATATATATATATTCTACAGCTAGTAGTTGCATAAGTGTTGATTTATTTAGGAAAAATGTTTACTTGTATACAAAAATACGGTCGATTTAGGAGATACACATAGTTGGCATTCTATTTTTCCTAGAAAACAATGTCTTTCTTGATATTTATATATAATTAGAAAAATTTATTGTCTAGTCAACAGATTTTGTCACTAAACATAATATATATGTAGTGCCAAAACATAATTATGTATGCTTAAACGCTTACAAATGTTCCATATTAAGAGCAAGTAAGAATAAAAATCGTTCAAGTTGATTTATAAGCAAAACCATCGATTCCATGTTATACCACATTCCGTTATGTATATAAGTTTTGTTTATTATGAATATTTTAGCCAAGGAACAATTACATTTACAGTGAACTCAGCTGTCATTTTCTTAGACATTAAAATATTTCAACATAAATTATATTAAACTATTTTATTTCAAGTGAGATTCCTTGCATTACAACCCTAGAGATAGAAAATTTTCTATTTCAGGTAAAATTATAAACATTTATTAATTTGAAAAAACACGCTGAAATATACTTGGAATACTTTTGAACTAGTTGTTATGCTTAGGAAACGCTTGAAAGTCATATTGAAATTCGATACATTTTGAAGGGCGAAAATTATGTGGAAAGATTTTCTTACATATTTCTGTTGGGTGTGTGCTTAGTGAACTATTGTGCGCACATTTTATGCGCAACCGATTTTTAAAACAACATTTTACATACTCCTATTTGTTAAACAAATAAAGAGTAAAAAAAAAAACACGCATTGTTTACACATGAATAAATTATTAAACGCTCTTGATTTGGCAATAAAATACACCGAAATTTCACCAAGCACATGATTAAATATACTAAAACAAATTTCAAAGTGTGTTACATTGGTGAATATACATGATATACATATATACATATATATATATATATATATATATATATATATATATATGCATAATGACTAACCTGTTTCAATGAAACGCTTTGACCGACTGGAATGTATTTAGTGATTGAACATAAAATCAACAAAGTAATGATCTCAGTTGTTTGTTTCATATTTATGTGAATAAATTATGTCAAGTGTTTTTAACGAAACCAAATAGGAAATATTCTTGAAATTATTTTATTTTCACAGTGTCTTTTTTTATATTTTATTTGACAATTTAGTTTGATTGGCGAATAACAAACAGTTGGTTTTGTGATGATTATTGAAGAAAATGAGTTGAACAATTGGAGTTTTGTAGAAAAACGAAATAAATTTCACTTCACTTTTGCTTAAAATTTCTTCTTTATAAATTTATATATTCTTTAAAATCACGTTATGCATGATGTTACACTGAAATCATGCTAGATATATTTATACAGTTATATCAAATTTTGTGATTGGTTAATTTAAGAAATATTTGTTTTCATAATATAGTATGGCCAATTTTTTTTTTAAAATGAAAAGAATTTATTTATTGCAGAATTAGAATAAACAACTCTTTTACAAGATGACCAATCAAAAAAATTTCGCTAGAAACAATTATTTAAAAAGAGAAAAAGTAGAAATATTCCTATTTTGTACCTGTCTTCTATTTTTTTTTCTTCAGTTATACAATAAAATGAAAAATAAATTTTTTCAACGTGATTTTCTTTGCTATTAACGCTAATTGTCACCACATAATAGAAAAAAAATTAAACACTCTTTGATAATTAATGGTTAGCACTGTTTGTTCAATGTTCAATAATTGGCGAGCGTTACTCCAACATTCGTTTTTTTTCTCGAGATAAAACAATTTCTTAATAGACTTAAGAACTTAGAAAGAAGCAAGAAATATAAATGAAAGATTACACACAGATTTCTTCTCCTCAATTTTTATATACATACTTTTAATTATGCTAGTCTAGTATCGTTTTTTTCTAACTAGTAAGTTATTGAAAGTAAGAGTCAGTGTTTTATTTTTATTTAGAAACTGATTGTTTTGATAGATTGTGTGCTGTTTAAAAGGTAGAAGAAAAGAGATTTTTTTCCAAATATATTTCAACATGAATAAAATTTTAACTAAATCACTGCCTTGTAATTTTACAAAATTTGTAAAATTAATTAATGCTTTGCAACAGGTACTTTTTCTGAAAATAATGGGTTCATTTTTAAAGTAACTGTACAATTTGTTTGAAAAAAATTCATAAAAATATGAATTTTTGTCTCAGTTACTAGAGTTAAAGAAATTTATTATGATGTGAGTTAAGCTAAATCCAACTGAACGAGCTAGTGGTTATTTATTTATACTGCTAACATGTACATGCTCATAAAACTAGTTTGAACAGACTTATGGAACACTTGACTTTTTATTAGGAAACTTGACAGTCTACAACAATCTGAGTTGAAATGAAAAGATAGTAAGAATCACATCGCTGCATTCTTTGCTTGTCATGTAAAATTCATGAAAACCTGAAGAAATCATTAATATTTTATGTATAGTTTGAATTTCCGTATTCTGTCCTAACGGTTAGTTTGAAGTCTATCTCAATGATAGTGAACAGCTGGTTCCCTTATCAGTACTGTTAAACATTTTAATGAGTTACCTAAGACATTGTGATTGATTCTAAGTGGGTATAATGTCACCTGAATTACAATTTATTTTTTAGTGCTCAAAGAAGGGACTGAAACAGTGATTGTGCTATACTCATGCATATCGAATATCAAGTTAAATGAGGCAAATGCAATATTTACCATCATTGTAAATAAATTGATTATTGGCGTAATAGGCCAACTTGATACATAGTTATCGTCTATCGTCGCTCTACAGATACCCAATAGTTCACATAATTACATTATTCGAAACTAGATCAACTCATATTTGGCGTTTTTGAATGAAACGATAAGAAGTTTGAGCGGAGGAAATGGCTTGTTAGGAAGTGATTTCATAAAATCTACGTAGTTCACTTTGGAGAAGTAATTTACATCTATTAAACTCACTGTATCACTGGTGAAAATGGTTGCATAAAAACTTTTTTAAAAGAGATATAATTGTTAGCCTTGACATTTTATTCAGAATACAAATTATTGAAATAATTGTAGAGAAAAGTAAGGCAAACCATTATTCTTATTTATGACCTTCAATTTTAAATTATCCGTAACATATTTAATTAATAATATTAAAAAATAATTTGTTTAAAATCTGTTTTACAGCATTCATTTAAACACTACCAATATATACATACGGTTGTCTTGTTTGATTTAAAAATTAAGAACACAACGTTTATCGTAAATAGTATATATATATATATATATATATATATATATATATATATATATATATATATAATTTTTTCGTTTAGCTTAAAGGATATCGCTTCTCAAGTTATATCAGTTAACACAATATGTAGGTACGACTGACAAACTGGAGGCTGATCTGATGAATGATATAAAAAAAATACCTGAGGATCACAGGTTATTCGCAGAGATCCAATGATGACAATTAAAAAACTGATATAATCATTTTAGTTGAAAAAGAATGCGATTTTCATTTATATCAAGCATAGAATTGATGATTCTTTTAGGGCAAACAATCGAAGGCTAACTAGTAAAGCTAAACAGCACCTATCCAGTGTCTCATATGATTTTATATTGTTTAATTAGACTACAATCTCAATAAACGATAAGTCAAAAATGTTGAATATCACGTGATTCCAGACTGAGAAACTTTACGCCATATGTTCAATTCAAACTTGACCTCATCCATGAGCTTTAACTACTGGAATAATTTGAACTTCACGTGACCGATAAAATGTAAACAACGAAGATGTCATTGTTCGCAATCGAATATACTCATTTCTTAGATAAGCATTAATTTTTCACATCAAAATATTATTCATAAAAACCTGCATGAAATAATGACAATTTAGTTGACTTGTAATGAGAAGGGTTAAATGCATCAACATTCTCCATTACTATTAATTACATTAGTTGGTGGTCAGTGTTTGAAAGATTAAACGCTAAGTTATTTTCACTGATAGTGTTTGAAAGATAATCGATGCACGGCGTAATGAGTATTTCGCTTTAATAAATCACTGCATTTGACAAATGACTATGACTCGTATTCCCTGTGTAGGAAAAAAAGCAATATTGTATGTAAATCATCAATGAAATCTCTACACAATGTTACTTATGTATATTACACATTGAAATCATTAGTCAGTCATTTTTACCACCATTAGAAATCTGGAAGCACTAGATAGTCGTTTCGCTCTGGTATGGGACACATCAGCAGTGCACATCCACTAGTGTTGCACATCGCGGGATTCGGACCCAGGACCTTCAGTCTGGTGCGCGAACGCCAAACCTCTAGTCCATTGGACTGGCATCCAACGGTGTTAATGTCTAACTCTAATCAAATCAAAAGATTTTACGCGAAATCACTCATTTGTCCTTGGTAGTTACTGCCTACACCGGACAGGGCTGAAGTGCACTGGTCACGTCTTTGTTATACTCGTCTCTAGGTATGCCTAAAAGTATTACGGAATCACCTTAGTCAAATAACGAGAACAAAACAATGAACCAGCGCCCAGGTAGGCTGCTGTGATCCGATTGTCCCAAATGTACCAGCAAGAAGTCTCGATATAGCGTAGAAAGTGTATTCTACAAACATTCAGCCAGCACACAATGAATCCAAGCGCACAAATCGCTGTTATTTATACACCATAGAGACGTCTTTGGGAAAGTCACAAAATAGCACATTAAAATGACACAGTAACCAATCACTGCCAAGGACTTCCCTGGTGGGAAATGTGATCTCAAGGTCAGCTGATCAGCCCATGAATAAAATCCTAAATAAAGACATTTATCAAGCGAGTTCTGGCGATCTAACATTCCCAACAGTCTTCTCACTAGAACTCCGAGAATTTCCTTACTAAGCTAATCACTAGTGAGTATATTTTACTCCTAAATGAAAAATTATGTATATTAATTAACTACTGAACAGTCAGTCACTCAATTCATGATTTCTGAGTGAATATTATTAATGATAATAATTAATATTATTACTATTATTATTCGATTTATTGTTTGTCTACTACTTATTTCATTCAAACAAAATAGTAATAATTTATCATTTTATCGGATAATTATCTCATTATTTCAAAGTGAAAGAAAAGAGTTTTTTCTGAAAAAAACACACATGTATAATTATAGTTATTTATTCTATTCAATGTTGCTAATCATGGGGTACCCTTTTTTTCTTTAAGAGAAGTGAAAAAAAATGCCTTGCGGAAGAGAACTTTTTTACGGGTTTCTATATTTTTTTTATGTTTTATGAAGAAAACGCAGTTCTCCTATGATTATTATTATTATTATTATTACTATTATTATTATTATTATTCATAATTATGTTAATTAGACAACATTCATTATTCGTTACAATGAGAATTGCCCTACAAACTGTATGTGTATATACTCAACTCAATAATAAAATTGCATACTTCACAAATATGTCCATATGTGTAACATGTTTAGTGAAAAAGAATAGGGATAATTGTGATTCAGTGCGATCCATGCCAATAATTTTGTGTGTGTACACTTTGTTTTAAAAATTACGCAACTTCACAACAATAAAACAACAGAATTTAGGGAAAATAATTATGATAAAACATAAATTAATTTTTTATTTATTCTTTTCATACTACTTTTTTTTTCTCCAAGCATAACTGATAATTATCACAATAATTACAATCGAAGGAATGATTTCTATATATATATATATATATATATATATATATATATATATATATATATATATACATAAGTGTGTTTTGTACATACAAACTGTTCATGAAAATCATGTAGGCAGTAAAATGAAAACTGTAAATTATATATAGGATTTTTTTTATAAATTTCCTTATTTTTATAGATATATATAGATATATATTTCAAAATATGATACATTTTAAATATGAATTATTGAATCAGTCAGTGTGTTTGATTAAAAATTCATAAAGATAAACAATAGTTAAATGACAAAAATCTCATATATATATGCATATGTATATACATGGAAAAAAAGGAATGATTTTTAGCAAAAATCATAGGAATCGAGATTATGAACAACGTTAACACAAATTGATTGATCAGAGCTAATACTGATTAGGAACAATAAGCCAAATATAAAATTTTTTTTAATATGAAAATCTAATTCATAGTCCAGTGTGGTTGATAATATTCAATGTGAATACAAGTTATTTGGTAGTGAATAATGTTTCAGTGGTTCAATTAAACATCGAAGTTAATCTGATTTCTTCAATCGTTAAACTTATTGCAAGCATAACGTAAACTAGTTT